GTGTTGCAATGAGAGGGGGGGGGGGGTGTAGTCAAATTAGTAGGTTAGAAAACCTGCATGAAATGCTGTTTTCTGTTGTCTCTTCTTGTCATCTGCTAAGCAGTGATCATTACAAAATTAGAAAATGCTATACCTGCAGAATAGAGGACTTAACAATTTCTACTGCCCATATCACCAGTATGTCCCTTATTTTTGGGCTTCAGCACTCTAAAGAGCTAAACTTTTTACTGTAAAAATATAATTCAATGTCTTTTGGTGCCTGTTAGTCCTCACCAACCTTAGTTTCCATTGTTCATTTACATCATAAGTTTACTTTAAAATGATGTTTGTAGTTGTTTTTCCTGCAGCATCTATTACCCGTGTTTCCCCGAAAATTAGACACTGTCTTATATTTTTTTGGGCTAAAAAAAAACACTCTAGGTCTTATTTTCGGGGTAGGTCTTATTTTTTTTTTATGTACAACAATCCACACTTATTCATGTAGAAAAGTCTACATGTAGTCATGTACAAAAATATGGTGATCAGGGGTGCCGTACCTTTCCAAGAGCAATTTGCTAACCAAACGCTGGCCAGAATGAGCGAACCACATAAAACGGAGTGCATTTGGTATCACTACGCCTGTGACAGGAGACGGCGCTATAGAGGAGGCATCTGCTCCCTCCGCTGCCACCTTGCTTCCTCTAGCGCTGGCTTTGTTGGCACTACTGATTCTCTCCTGCTTCTCCCGCGCGGCTCTTCAAGTTCCCCCTTATGCCACCACCGGTCCTGGGAATGGTCACAACTAGGTCTTATTTTCAGGGTAGGTCTTATATTTTAGCAATTCCCAAAAATAGTACTAGGTCTTATTTTCGGGGTAGGTCTTATTTTCGGGGAAACAGGGTACATAGGTTTGTCAATCTGACATTTACAATGATCCACCTGTGGATTTAATCTGTATCTTTGTCTCTGAGGATAATTGAATAATTTTGTAGCCATCTGAAAACCAGATGTTAGAAAGTCACCATGTGATAATGTTTTATTGCTTCTGCCATGTGGAATTGTTAGTAATCATATAATACATGTTGTGTTCTGTTATATAACATTTCAGATCTGCTAGCTCTTGGCAAGACCACTGGGCAGACTATACAAAGCCAGCGACAACTCAAGTTGGTGACTGTGAAGGGTACGTCTTACTATATACTATAAATAAGGCCTGATGTTCTGCTACATAGTATGAGTACGCTTCAGAACAGTTGCACTCATTCATATTGTATATGTTTGTTTCTATAATGTATTATGCACAGTATTTTCATGAAGGATATATGACTGGTCTGTAGTATCAAAGAATTTCACACGAGCTTCAAAGCTTCAGGTGGAGGAGATTTACCATAATTGCTCCTGCCTGTTCTTCCCCAGTCTTAAAGTACTGTACCCAGCACGTCTGCCTTTCATGCACTCTACCTTTGCAGAATGTTTTCCTTCCAACTTGATGGGGTCTTTAGAAACACATACATTCGAGGAACTGGTAGTTGTAGTGTTTGCAGAGGACACTAAAATTAGTGGGTCGCAGCTAGCTGTTAGTAATACTTTTATACGGGGAGTCAGGTGAGGCAGAGCCTCACCTAGAATTATGGAGGAAAAAGCTCTCAGCTTCATGTCTGAAGCTGAGAGTGTCAGGGACCCAGAGGGGCCGTTCCTTGTCAGGTTCGCAGGCGCGGACATCGGGCACGGGTAGCTCCACCTCCTCCCCCCTAAGGCTGGGGAATGCCTCACCCAGAACAAGAGGTACCGCACGTCACTGCTTTTATATCTCCTTCAACCAGTCTTCAACTCAAATGCCCCTGGGTAGTTTTTGTCCTTTAAGAAGCACTGTCCCATAACAGAGGGGGTGACAACGCAGCTCCCTTAGGCTCTGACAAGTCTCCTTCAACCAGTCTTGAACTCAAATGGCCTGGGTAGTTTTGTCCTTTAAGAAGCACTTTCCCATAACAGAGGGGGTGACAACGCATCTCCCTCTAGGCTCTGACAGGTCTCTGGGTGGTGTCTGTGACAAAGAAAGGATCAGTGGAGGATTGCTAGAGATGCAAGCATCCGTGGGTTAGGAAAAGGCTAGGGGTTGGCTTTACACAAACATTGGCACTTTTTGCTGAATTCTCTTTTTAAACTGCATATTACATAATATTTTTTTAAATAATAATTGTACTTTTAAATGTTTGAGACTTAGATGTGCATCAGTAACATTTGTACTTCTACTTCTCATCCCCATGACTGGCAAACTAATTATATTATTGTTAGTATTACACAGCATATTAAAGTGGGTGAAAACAGGAATAAAAAATGCTTATGGAAATTCAGACCTCTCTTTGGACCCTCAACTGTTTGATGGAGGAGATGATGCTTTATATTTTCCTAATACAGTTACAGCATCATACTTACAGCTGGACTTTCTAGTCTGGTTCTTTGCTATGGTAGATGTTGCTATTGTATTTTGTTGTATTTACACCAGGTAATTGCCGACTAGTATTTTGCAGGAGCAAAAAGTGTTCTTTTTGCAATCATAAATGGGATGCTTGCACTATGATGAAAGAAACAGTCTGGTATGTTCTACCAGTGAATTGGCACTGTTATATTTGTTGATCAGAAATGGCACACTTTTTTTTTTGCAGCATAAAAAGTTGGACATGTTTTTTTTTTGCGTTTTGAGTTCTGTACATTTGATTGAAAATCTAGTGTAAAGCCCAAGTCATTTAGCCCACTTCCTGTGAGCCCAGGTTGTCAGGGACACATCCTCTCGGGCTGTGTCATCAAGCCTCTCTGGACTGACAAAAGAGTGATGCCAAGAACAGCACCCTACGTTAGTGCTTTTCTCTGAATCATAGGAAGAAGAAAGCCCCAGGGCGTTGGGTGACCAAACCAAAAATAGCTCCAAAATAGATATGTATTAGGGATGCACCGATATATCGGCCGCTGAAGCACATCGGCTGAAAGTTTTCTGGCCGATACAGTGGTGCATCCATTCTTTCTCTCCTCCCTGATGGGTGCTGCTCTGTGTCCCAGCGGCGAGGAGGGAAACTGTCACAGGGGGCCGAGCGCTGCGGGATTAGAGCGCTGTGAGCGGCCGGCTTCTCTCCTCCCCGCGCCGCTTAGCCTTCTATGATAGATTAGGAGAGCAGTGTGAGGCGGAGACAGCCAGCGCTGTCACAGGAGGCTGAGCTCCGCTCGCTCAGCCTCCTGTGACAGCGTGTCAGGAAGGTGAGCGAGTACAAACACTCAGTGATCGCTAAGTGTTTGTAAATAATTAAGCACAGAGTATGTTTACTGTATCCTCAATTATGAATGAATGAGAAGTGATCTACATCACCTCCAGTTCATTCATAATTGTGGTTATAGTAAACATACTATGTGCACAAGTTATGAATGAGCAGGAACACTCAGTATAGATGATTCCTGTTCATTTATAACAGGGGCTGCAGAAAAAGAGATTGAGGGCTCTTTTTCTATTTTAAAAGGCAAATATCAGGGGTCTGTTTAGATCCCTAATATTTCCCCAAAGGCCCTAAAAGTAAAGTAAAACATAAAAATATTTAATAAAAAATGAATAAATAAATATTTTTCAAAATTAAAACGTTTATAAAAAATAAATACAAATGACATATTTTTAACAATTTGAAAAAGTTAAAATAAAAACATTTTCGGTTTCAGCCTGACATTTTTTTTATTTCGGTTTTGAAATTTTCATTTTGGTGCACCTCTAGTATGTATGCAAAATGTTTTTATAAATGAATGCAGGAGGTTGCTTCAAGAGGAGAGGGTGTGCTTCATTGTTGGGGGGTCTGCCTTATCTAGAGTTGGGCTTTAAAGTAAATCTGTCTTGTTTTGTGATGCAATTGTCTAACTTACAAGCTGTATGCCAATGTCAGGGCATTGAAGTCCCCTTTCAGTATTACTGCAAATAATGACAGATTTACTTCTAAGATGACAGACTTACGCACTGCATATTAATTATAAGCAAGTCAGACAGATGGCTAGTCAACAATTGTCAACCTCTGTGCATTTTCTTACTATGTGGCATGTATGTACCAAGGTGTTCTCCACTTGCATGTGGCTGCAGGATAATACAAGTTTGTGTTACACAGTTTAAGATTGTGTCTTTTATATGTTTCAACAGAAGGAGAGGTCTCTGAAGAACAACACAGTGAGCTAACAAGTCCATGTAATCCATCACTACCTGGTGCGAACGCGTCCTCTTATAACTACACACTGTATGGTCTGCCCAATATGGTGGTTATGTGAGACTTTTGTCAATGACAATTAAATAAACACTGAATTTGGTTTATACTTGTCATGCAATAGCGTATTATTGTGAAAAGAACTCTTGGCGACCGTTAAAGACAGAAACTTCCTCCTTCTATATACCAGTGTGATGTCCATAGTACTTTCCAACCTTCACACATGTTTCTTGTATTTATAGACGCATACCAAATTGGGCATGTGTAATAACTATTTTCTTCTTCAGCAAGTATTGTTTGTGACAATACACCAGGACCATGTATGGGATATTAAGGGGAAGAGAACACAACGACCTCAAGCCAAATAACTGTGGCTATTTTATCGGTGAGAATCAGCCACAAACCGCATCATATGTGTTGTTTTTAGAGAATGCATCAGCACAAAAAAATAATGTTTTCAAGATTTACAACATAATGTTTGTATCCAATTGAAAGTGCAGCATTCAGCTACAGCTGAACCCTTTTTACTAATAGATTTTACCAGCATGCAAGATTGCATGTTGTTTACTATATACAAGGCCATCAGAAGTTCCCTTCTCTGCTCTCCTGTCCTTCCGTCCCCTCTCCTCTTTTCTCACCTCTCCTCTCCTCTTTTTTCTCTTCTCTCCTCTTTTCCCTCCTCTCCTCTGTATTCTCCTCATTCTCATCTCTTTTTAATGTCCTCTTCTTTCTATTTATTTTGCCTCACCTCCCCTTTCTTTCTCACTTCTCTCCTCTTTTCTTTCTCATCCCCTATTCATTCCACTTCCCTCTCTATTTCATATCCACTATGGTTAAGACTGGAAACAGTCTTCCTCTCGTCTACTGTCTACTTATATTTTCTCTCCTCTCTTTTTAACTTTTCTTCTCTCTTCTCATGCTTCCTCTTCTCTGCCCCTCTTTCCTCGCCTCTTTATTTTTCTTTCCTGTCCTCGCTTCTCATCTTTCCTTTCCACTCCTCTCCTTTTCCTCCTCTTCTTTCCTCTCTTTTTCTTTTTCCTCTCCTTGCATCTAATCCTCTCCTCCATTTTCTTTTTTCTCTCGGCACTTCTATCTCCCCCCATCTCCCTTTATTTTGTGCTGGCAATGAAACATTGGCAATGTAACTGATATGTTTTTATATATTGGATGACTTTTAAATATAATATATAGATTTACAGTATATAGCATTTACTACTGTACCTCCCTGTATCTAATCCAAAAGAAATCTAAATAACTGTGTTCAGGAGATTGTAGTACATTACTAAGTTTACCTAAAATTACCTTTGGTTTACATTTCTTATCTGTACATGCTGGCTGTTCCATAATGTCTTAATCTCTTTTAAAGTGGAACTGAAGACAGTCAGCTGAAATGCATATCTAGGAGTGTTAATTGCCAAAAGATATGTATTTCTGTGCCGCCAGTCTTTTGATCCAGGCACCCCTTTCAAACAGCTTGGTGTAGAAGCAAAGCATGGTCAAGAACACACTCCCTTTCTTCTAACAACAATGAAGCTCACTGATGAAGCCATCCCTCTGTTCACTGTTCAAACTCGTGTCAGCATGTTTACTGTCAGTGCATGTACACTTCAGCAGAGACTAATTGGTTACTAGCACTTTCCCTTCCTCTCACAGTGTTGCTCTAAAGGGGATTAAAGGAGGCAGATATCATAACAAATTAAATGTTTATCCGTGTTGAATTTTGATTTACAGAACATTTAGTAAATGTTTTATGGATATGTTACTACAGTAATTTGTTTTTTTATATCTGCCTGGAGTTTAGCTTTTAATATTACAAATTAGTAAATTCTTCCTCTAATGGATATCAATATATCAGGCAGTGTAATCTCCAAGCCTGCTAAGTGTCTGAGAAACACAAAGAATCTGTTGTTTGCCGTTAGTCTGAGCAGACTGGTAAACTTGTATTTATAGACATGTGATGAACTGATTTGGCTGTTTTCAGCTGAATCTGGTGAGGGTCCCATGTCTGTGAGTGTTCCCCAAGACTGGCAGTGCAGCCATGTAGACAGGTTAGAAATCCTGTCCTGACCACTATTATTCCCCCCTGATACACATTTCCCATTCACATGTAAGGTCAACAGAGCCAGCCACACAAACGTATGGTGTGCTTGCCGCTTTTTTCAGATAGCTTACTCATAGGGTGCCTGTCGGAACCATTGTCTTGAAGGGCAACTATACCTTTTGGTCCTTTAAATAATGTTTCCACCCTCCTGAGTTTAGCTCACCTGATAAAATACTTGCCCTGTTGAAAATTGCCCTGTTGGGTCATCTTCTTACTGCGCATGTGTTCTGCAGCTACATTCATTCATTACTATGGGTGAGCCAACTCCTCGCGGCCTCCATCTATCCAGCAGAGTATGGCTCACCCACAGGAATAAATGGGGCCACAGCGCACAGTAAGGATAGGACCCAGTGGGGATGTTTTGAAGATCGCTAGAATGGGCAGGAAGATAAGTATTTAAAGAGCTGGCATACACTCAGTGGGATGGTAGGATTAATTAAAGGACAACTGTACCAAAGGCAAACTTTTCCTTTAATACACAGTACCCATAAAGCACAACTGCTATATGCTGAGGGAGCCACAGCCGGGACGAATCCCGACAATACTGTCGAGATCCACCCCACTGGCTGATTAACAGCGGGCTCTGTCTATCTAGAGGCAGAGCCAGTTATGCCCGTCCCCTTCCCTGTCCATCCCTCCAGTCAGGGCTCCAGACGGTCACTGCTCTCTGCAGGCAGATAAGAGAGCGAGTGGCGGTATGTTTTCGCTCACTTCCCGATCAATAGAGCCGACGGGTGACAGTTTCAATGTCACACGTCGGCTCTAACTATGGGGATGAGTGTAATTCACTCACCTCATAGTTCTCCATTAAGCCCATTACATTACCTTCCCTATCTAAAATGAACCATATCTCAAAATACACAACTTTAGTATGTTTATAGGGCAATCCTCCGATGACCACCACCAGTGTAATGGTACACCACATACCACACACTTCTGCACCATGTATGCTGTGCTAAACGTTACATTCCTCTGACTGCGAAATTGAACACTGTATTGCACATTTATATAATTAGAAGTTGTTTTATAGATTCAGTTTTTCATCCTGGACACTTTTGCTAGTCTAAAAATAAATACATCTTCAGTATGGCTTTAGTATAGGTCTCCTTTAGGAAAATAATTAAAGTGACACTAAACTCAAGAGTAAAACCTTAAAAATGCATTCAAATACCCCAACTATTAACAAAAATGTATCTTATTTGTTTATCACTCGACTGCAGATACTCAAATCATCTCTGAATTGGTGCTGACACTGTCCTTCCCACTGGAGTGTGGCTACTTTTCTTCCCCATGGTCCTTGTGTGTGTTGTAAAGTAGCCACTCCTCCAAGCTCGCTCGCCCGAAATTTTTTGTTTATAGCTGGGGTACTTGAATGCATTTTTAAGGTTTAACTCCTGAGTTTAGTGTCACTTTAAGAGAATAAGTCAGAATAATCTTGTCTTGCAAACATATACTAAACTTCAAAGGTTTTGTGATGTAACAGTCTCAGTCCTCATCACTGATAATTTGTTACTGGAAAAAAAAGCACTCAGGATCAGTCATTTAAATGAAACCACAAAGCACTACCTGAACCTAAAGCCCAACTCTGGTTTTACCTGTAGACCACCAGTGTTCCCTTCTTTCCCCTAAAAGATAAACCCCCATGTATTTTTTTGCTGTTGTGTTTTTATACTTTTTCAGATGTCTTCACATCCAGGACAGTTACATAAGTTTTTCTTGCCCTTCGCCTCTTGTCCCACCATCGGCAATGAATTCAGCTACAGTATGAAGTAAGTCCAGGGCTCTGTGGTGACACCAACTCAGGGAACGGGTCCATAAACAACAAAACATCCCCTTTGTCCTTAGACCAGTCTGCTGAGGATTATCATTACCATATCCTACAACTATTTGTCAGGATCCTGAAGGAAATCGAATGACTCAAAGAATTGTTAAACTGCAAGATATTACCTTGTGGTAATGGCTGTTCAGGTTCATTCATTTTACAAAGCATCTTAAGCAACATGTTTGCTCAATTTTCATCCAACTGATGCTTGTGATTGTCTAATTGGCCTTATCAGCAATTCACTAAAGTGAGACCAGTGTAGTGTAACACATAAGCCAAGCAGAATTATGTGTATAAAGGTTTTTGCCCTCTGTCTCTTCCACTTCATAACAAAAATGTGTTCAGAAGATATTATTACTTTTTAAGCACTCTTAAAACCAAACCTTTGACCCCCTTGAGTTTAGACCTGTGTGCGGCAGTCCTGTGGTTGGAGATAAAAGACATTGCTTGAGGAATCACAGGAGTTGAGGATTTGTTCTGTACTTCATTTTCCCCTTGTTTTAACTGTCTAGGCATATCTCACAAATCTGCAATATCGTGTGGCTGCCAACTGTGCTCATTTAAAAGAAAAAAGAGGATTAGGTTAGAGCACAGAACCTTAAAATCCTTTATACTGTGCTTTGTCTTTTCATCTTGCCAAAATATTCTCTCCTTATTATCGGAATATAAGGCATTGAAGTTTAACTTTTGAAGGAAACCTTTTCTAAATCAGTTATGGAGTCTGCCTTTACTGAATTCTTATTCTGCAAATAGTAGTTCACTGGCTTTCATGCTGACCCTAGACTGGCAGCCGTCATATTTCACTTACTGTGCTTTGCGCATGGAAGGTTGCATGTCATTTCACAGGGCGGGTTTTCTGATGGTGAACCATGTTTGCACAATGTGCATTGCCCCGCCTTCCTGTAGTCTTCTTTAACAGATCATAAAACAGCCTGACAAACGCAGGGGAACAATGGGGAGACAGGGGTGTTGTCACACTAAAACAGGAAGTACTGGAACAAAGACCTTCATGGAAGATATTAATTTTTTTGGATAGAGTGGGGAAAGTTTAGAACCCTTGTTAGGATTTTAATGCTTTCTGTGCCACAGCTGGTGAGATTTACTATCACTCTTTGTCCTGGGGACGAAGTGAAGGTAATTCCAAAACTTTGTGTAGTCAACAGAACCGGGATAGAGGGGTAATCTACAAATGAGGACACTTCCAGTGACAAATATCTGAGGAGGTTTTCCCTTAAAAAAAAAAAAAAAATCCTCTGATTTTTTTGTGTGTCTCAAATACAGAAAGTAAAGGAACATCTGCCCAAAAAGGACACAAATAACTTGACAAAGGTTTTAACCATCACCTATTCTATTTAAAACTTATTAAAAGTTTTGGCTTTAGTTAGACTTTCAAAAGAAATACCACCTTTTGCAAAGAAGCAGTAAATGCAGCAATGATAATCTGATGATAAATGTGCATTTATAAAAAATGTTGCATTGCACCCGCCGTTAGTGTGTTGAAGGTGCAGTTCACAGGCTCTTGCAATGTTTCCCCCAACCTCAGCTCCCTACAATGGCACAGACCTGCTGGAGGAAGGGCAGCTTGAACTATAGAGCAGGGAGGTGGAGAAGGATGAGATCACTGGTGTGCTCTACATAGTTCCTTTGATGCGGTGGCAGATGGGTCATGTTGTAATTTGTTTATGATTCCAGGCCTGGATGATGCCGCTGTGTAGGCAGAGCCACGCATAGCCTAGCTAAATTTAACAAAATAAGATTTCTGCATGGAGGAGCACCCTGCGATGCAGGTAAGAAAGGAATGGTTTGGGATTTGGGGATGGTGTATACAATCATGCTTTATGTTATACCCTAAATATGTATAACACGAAACTTGGTGAAAAACATAGCATTTACAGAACACAAATACAAATCTGTCAGGGCCCTTTTACACTTCTACATTACTACAGTGCACAGTAAGGGACATAACATTCATTGCAGTGACATTTATTTTCAATAGCACCCCACGAACCTGGAATGGCAATGCACCTGCTTTTTTGTAGCACTTTTTTAAGCCCATTAGAGTGTGCCGGCTATCCATTCTTAACTAATTTGATTGCACCGCAAAAAAGTAAATGTTTGGGGGGCATCTAGAGGGTACAAGGGCACCATATAAGCAAGGTTCTTTCCACAGAAAAGGCTGTAGTTGTTCTGTAATAATAGAGTTATGTTTGATGGCCATGGTACTTGCTTAGCAGGATACATTCATTTTTCACCTCCACTCAATATGTCAAAAGTTCAGACCACTGTGCCTTGGAAAAATGTTACCTACTTTGTTTCTAAAGAAACACCAAAGCTGATATGTACAAAGTAATATCCTTTTGATCTTTGCTTGTTAATCCACAGAAGAAATTCTCGGTATTGAACTGAGAGATAATTTCCTTAGCCACATATTATGTAAACTGCAACAGTGACACCTGAAGTTTGTAAAAGGCAAACTATGGCATTTCCTTAAGATAATATTTTTTAGTCTAGTTAATAAAATAGCTCATGAAAACCCCAAGAACCCCAAATCCACAACCTCAAAAAAGTAGATTATTACATGCTATCAATAAAACAAGGATTGTACATAGAACAATATCGGACCTCTGAAAAGTACAAGCATGCATATGTACTCAGTACTTGGTTTGGGCCCCTTTTGCAGCACTTACTGCAATTACTTTTGCACGATTTTCTAATTATTCGAGTTTCACCTGTATTTACTGTTTATGTTGTCACCATATCTAAAGCTATATTTTTACCTAGTTCCTTTATCACAGTTATATGAGGTGTCATTGATGAGACAGGAGCCTGTCGGAAGACAGCCATAGATGGGAAGTTTTACAAAACATCTGAAGCCAATAAAAAAAGCATGGCTGTTGTCCATAGTAATTAAACAGGCCTAATTAATTTTATATTTTCCTGTTTGGTCAGCATAATAAGTGCATAACTCTCTGTATGATGAGAAATAAAAGCAGAAAAGGAGCAACCCCCTTGTTATGACTAAGAACTGATGTTACTGAATCTGTGTATTGGATGGATAGGTCACTGTAAAAACAATTGCCACAGAAAAACTGATATCAGTGTTTGGTTAAAGCCATACTTAAAAATAGATAAAAACGCAATTAATAAATCTCATATCAGTTGTATCATGTCATGTAATTTCAAAAGTTATTTTCAATATTTTAAAATTTGCAGCTATTGTTAAAAGACTAGTGATCCTTCAATGAAGGTCCTAGTTTCAGCTCTTCCTGTTATGGGGAGACAACTGTCTTCCAGTTACAGTATGCTTCAGTGTTGCCACCTTATTGCATGCCTCCTGGTGGACTACAAGTGATTGTGCTGGCACGCACAGCTCAGACACATTCCACTGTTGTCACCATCAGGAAATGGAAGGGTTAGAACCCATGCAAAGTCTTAATTGTTGTCTGTGTCCCTTGCATGGAGATTTACTCTCTACAGTTGTCTTACTGACCACTGTCACTGGGACAGAAAGTAAGCGAAATTGTAAGATGCAGAGTTGTCACCAGAATAAAAATAATAGGGACATTTTCCAATGGAGACATTTGTCCTAGTGACAACCGTCTAAGAGGGGATATCCTTACTTCGAAAATATGTGTCCTCTCATTTCCTTTTTATGTGCAGGACAGGAAGTTGCCCCCCCCCCCCCCCCCCCCTTTAAGAAGTGGCTTTACATATACTTTAATAAAATAAATAGACAAACGCACACCCTTATAAGCATAAAGGGAAAGCAAGAAGCAGAATAATGGGTGCTGTAAGTATTTTGTTTCAGATAAATATATGTCAGCACGACAATGAAGTAGTGCAAAAATAGACATATATATATATTGTGGTTTATAGAGTAGCAAAAGATAATATGCATCAATCCAATTGTATATAATGTCTCACCACCTTGCCAGCTATGCTATACATAAAAATGCTATCTAGTGTTTAAAGTACATATAAACAACATGTATAGTAAAGTGGGGACATAAAGCACATTTGTGTTCGGAATCTCGCGGGCCCAGCATGTTGCCCCGCTTTGTACGTGATATACACCAAGGCCATGTTGACCTCCCTACCCCACACAACCTGAGGTGTGCCATGATTTTTATGGTCAGTACGCTAAATAAGGGGGCGTACTCTAGTAAGCTTTGAGTAATACTAGTAATAATGGGGATGGGTGGGAGGGTACGCCGGAGGTCAGCAGCAGAGGCGTCCTGGAGGCTCCGACTCCTCCCACAAACTCGGCTAATGTTATTAGCCTCAAACATATATGTTGCCTGACAGGAATAGTTTGTAATCCCCATATTGGTTCCCAATGATAATGTTTAGGTTGACTAAACTTTATCATTGGGAACCAATATGGGGATTACAAACTATTCCTGTCAGGCACTCAACCTCTTGCAAGTTAAAGTTGAACTGTAACCTCTCGTTTTGCACTGTTGTACGGGATCCTCTCCTGTAATTAAATTGATTATTCTGATGTCACTTCACACTGAGTTTTTCACAATGTGCATTAGAAGCTGCAGAAAGTCAGATAGAGTTCACCTCATTTCCTCACCGGAGGGTATTCAGCATCACCTAGAACCTTCTTTCTGGCTTTCCCTGGCCCAACCCTTTTATTCAATGGATGTGCTTTATTTCAACAATGGAGACTCAACATCACATGCAGGCATTACCTAGGACAATCTGTATGCAAATGCAGCCGACCCAGGAATACCTACTCCTCGAGGCTGACATATGCAGTGAATTTTAGAAATCAGTGACTTTGGCTGCAATCACTGTCATGAGTCAGTGTTTGTCATTCTTTTATGCAAAGTTCATTTATTTCACTAATGCAACTTAAAAGGTGAAACTAATATACGAGATAGACTCATTACATGCAAAGCAAGATAATTCAAGCCGTGATTTGTCATAATTGTGATGATTATGGCTTACAGCTCATGAAAACCCCAAGAACCCCAAATCCACAACCTCAAAAAAGTAGATTATTACATGCTATCAATAAAACAAGGATTGTACATAGAACAATATCGGACCTCTGAAAAGTACAAGCATGCATATGTACTCAGTACT